ATTCTCATCCACTTCTAAGTCCACCCAATCTAAAACATGTGAGGGGTCGGGTTCATATTTGCGAAGCATTGAGATGTGGAACACGTCATGTATCCTAGATAATTGTGGAGGCAAAGCAAGACGATAGGCAACCTCTCCCACTCGTTCGATGATATCAAAGGGATTGATGAATCTAAGTGATAACTTTCCACTTTGGCCAAATCTCATCAAACCTTTCCTAGGAGATATTTTCAAAACTACGTAGTCACCTACTTCAAAGGATAAAGGTCGTCTTCTTCTATATGCATAGCTCTTTTACCGACTTTGTGTTGTGACCAACCTCTTCCAAATGAGAGCTATCTTTTATGTAGTCTCACGAACTAAATCTGGGCCAAGCATGGCGTGAATCTCCTACTTCGGTCCAACACAGGGATGATCTACAAGGACACCCATACAATGCCTCAAAAGGCACCATCCCAATGCTAGCTTGAAAACTGTTGTTATAGGCAAACTTAACTAATGATAGATATTTCTTCCATGACCCTTCGAAATCTAGCACATAGGCCCCCAATATGTCTTCTAGAATTTGAATTGTGCGCTCAGACTGACCATCAGTTTGAGGATGGTAAGCTACTAAAGGTCAATTGAGTTCCCATGATGGTTTGCAAACTCTGCCACAACCGTGCGGTGAAGCAAGGATCCCTATCCGAGACAATACTTACTGGAACCCCATGAAGCCGAACGACCTCCCTAACATACACTTTTGCTAAATAATCAACTACGTCTCCCATGCACATCGCAAGAAAATGTGCTGACTTGGTTAGTCGGTTTACTATGACCCAAACAGTGCCATTACCCTTCAGAGTTCTAGGGAGACCTAAAACAAAATCCATAGTGATATGTTCCCATTTCCATTTAGGTACAGGTAAGGGTTGTAACAGCCCAACTGACCTTTGATGCTTCGCTTTGACTTGTTGACAAGTTAAGCATTTAGACATAAATAGAGCTACATCCTTCTTCATACCCTTCCACCAAAATTGATGACTTAAGTCGCGATACATTTTTGTACCTCCAGGGTGAACAGCAAGACGAGAGTGATGAAATTCTCGTAGTACATCATATCTACAAGATTGTGGAACGAAAAGGCAATCTACATATCGAATACTTGAGTCGGAATGCACCCTCAGCCCTTTTTCTTAAGTCGGAATCTTCTTTTACTTGTAAGATTTTCTCTCTAATAGCCTCCACTTCTAGATCATTTTGTTGTACTTCTAAAACTCGTGTAATTAATGTTGGCTAAGCCAAAACTAAAAACAAGGTAGCTTGACTAGGTGATCCGTTAAGTTGTACATCAAACTCATTTAGATCACCCAACATCTTCCACTCCCTCATGGCAAGGCTAGCAATCGTACTCATAGACTTTCTACTTAAGGCATCGACAACTACGTTTGCCTTTCCTGGGTGGTAGTGCAATTCAAAATCGTAGTCTTCTATATACTGCATCCACCTTTGACGTAAGTTCATATCTTTCTGAGAAAACAAATACTTGAGGCTCTTATGATCAGCAAAGACATCAAATTTCTCTCCATAAAGATAGTGTCTCCAAAGCTTCAAAGCAAAGATGACTACTACTAATTCAAGATCGTGAATGAGTAGTTCCTCTCGTGAGTTTTCAATTGATGAGAACCGTAAGCTACAACTTTGCCCTCTTGTATCAAAACGCATCCCAAACCCTCTCTAGAAGCATTACAATAGACTGTATAACCTCTTCCTCTCTCCGAAATAATCAGGACGGGTGTAGTAGTTAATCTAGCCTTTAATTCTAAAAATGATTTCTCACATGCATCATTCCAAACGAACTTCACCCCTTTTCTAGTTAATTTAGTCAAAGGGGCCGCTAAAGTAGAAAAATCCTTCACAAAATGCCTATAATAACCAGCAAGACCCAAAAAGCTACGAATTTCGAAAACATTTCTAGGTCGTTCCCACTTCTGTACTGCTTTAATCTTAGAAGAATCCACAGTAACTCCCTCTCTCGAGACCACATGGCCCAGAAACTTCACTTCTGAGAGCCAAAATTCACACTTCTCATATTTAGCGTACAACCGGTGTTCTCTAAGGAGTTGCAGGACGATGTGAAGGTGATTCTCATACTCCTCTTCAAAAGACGAATAAATAAGGATATTATCTACAAAAACTACTACGAACTTATCAAGATAATCTCAAAAAACTCGATTCATTAAGTCCATGAAAGTAGTGGGAGCATTGGTCAAGCCAAACAGTATTACCAAAAATTCGTAGTGGCCATATTGAGTATGAAAAGCCATCTTAGGAATGTCCTCCTCCTTCACCCATAACTTATGGTAATCCGATCTTAAATCTATCTTCAAAAAACACCAAGAACCCTTAAGTTGGTCGAAAAAATCATTTATCTGGGTAAGGGGTATTTGTTCTTGATGGTGACCCTATTAAGCTTGAGATAGCCGATGCATAACCGCAACGAGTCGTCTTTTTTCTTAGCAAAGAGGGCTGGTGCTCCCCATGGCGAGATGCTAGGGCGTATAAAACCCTTGTCTAATAATTCTTGTAACTACTCCTTTAAGACAAGCAGCTCCGCTGAGGCAAATCTATATGGTGACATAGAAATGGGCATTGTTCTGGGCACTAAATCTATAGAAAACTCTACCTCACGATGAGGTGGTAATTCGATGAGATCTTCAGGAAAAACATATGGATACTCATAGACTACCTTAGGAAATATCTCCTGTACAACATTATTCTCATCATCTACTATGGTTGCAAGAAGAAAACTAAGTTTGCCCCCAGTTCGTGGGTCATACAATGGTAACAACCCTCCATTAGCTCTATCCCCCAAAAAATAGAAACAGTCCCCTCTTGCGATACACACCGTAACCCTTCTGCGGTAGCAATCTATAATAGCGTGATAAGAGGACAACCAGTCCATACCAAGGATAACATCAAAGCCTGATATTTCTAACAATGCGAGATTAAAAGGGAGTTGATGTTCAGCCACCTCAATTATACACCAATGACACCCCTGATCCAGAACAACTTGACCCCCAAATGGTGACTCAACCACAAGTGAAGACTTTAATCATTCTACCTTTAGGCCCAAAGTGGATGCAAATGCAGATGCTATAAATGAATGCAATGCCCTGGTATCTATCAATACGTTGACCCATGTGTTATAAATAAGATAGGTACCTCTCATCAATAATGGCCCGAATGACTGTTCAGAAACAGTAACAGCATAGACTCGTCCTTGGGGCCTCTGATCACCCCGATCACCTCTCAAAGTATTGGTTAGTTGCGTTGACTGCGCTGATGTGGCCCCTTATACTGCCCTCGATGTCTGCCTAGACTGAACAGGCTGGTAACTCTGTCTCCGACCCTGGCATTACAAATAACCCCCAGAATTTTGGGACCCTGAAGTGTTTCCCACTCCAATCAACTGAGGACAAGATCTCTTCATATGACCCGATTGTCTGCAATGGTAACACACAGGCAATTGACCCCTCCCTTGGGCTTGGCTTGGCTTAGAGAATGAGTTGGTTATTGATGGCTAGGATTCTGTTTGCAGTCTGATGCCTTGTGACCTTGCTGGCCACATCTAAAACAAGTAACACAATAAGGGCCCGCACTCCTCGAACTTCTCATGGAAACAAACCCCTATGATTTTGCTTGTTGGGGTGTGGACTGGGAAGATGAAGAAAATGAACCCCTAGATCTCTTAGAAGTCTCGTATCACCCCTAGATTCGGCAAAACTCGATCTCTTGTGCTTCTACTTCGTTTCTTTGGCCTCTAGTATAATCTCTACGTGAGCCACAACCTCCACCAGTTTGTCATATTCTTGGTACATTTTACCCATCACTTTCATCAAAATTTTGGGTTTTAATCTCTTCTCAAATTCCAAACACCGACGTGTCGTTTCTTGGTTGCTACAAGCCCGGGCGCAAAACAAGCTAGGCTAGTAAATGTGGCCTCAAATTCCGCCACTAGTGTGTCTAACTGCCTCAGTTCTTCGAATTCCTTCCTCAACCTCTCCCTAGTTATGGGAGGCAAAAACTTCTCTTGAAAGGCCTGGGTAAATGCCTCCCAAGTATGCTCTACTCTGTGTTTGACAGACTTTCACCATTAACCGGCCTCCCCTTTTAATTGGTACACCGCTAATGCCACCCGAAACTCCCCATCTCAAATATCGAGGATGTCAAATGACTTAATAATCTGCTCCAACCATTCGTTTGCCTTCATTGGATCAAGCCCACCACTAAATTCAGCAGGGTTAGAACAGAAAAATTCCTACTTCAAGAAGGAAACTCGAGTTTTCCCTTCAATTGTCGTCGCCGCTTGCTCAGCTTGGAGTATTTCCATGGACTCACGAAGAGCCCCAGCCATCTCCCGAGCTAATGCCACCATCGCATCTTGGGCCGATGGAGCGGCTGCGTCATTTTCCCCTACCCTTTCTTCTTGGGAAAGAAGATCTTGTTGTGCCGGCATATCCCTGCGACCTCTACGGGGCCTTGACCTCTTCCTTGTCCCGACATCCTATATACAGCTATAGAAGAAAACAAATTAACTCAAAGCCTATGCATCACAAGCCAACTCACACGTCACACAGGCGACTTAAACACATAAAGCGCACAGGAGTTACTCTCCCAAGATTCTGACTAGTCCCATGGCACTCAAAGATTTCCTAGTAGAAAAGGCATTGATTAGGTGCTTTTCCAAAAGGGTTTCAATGATTGCAACAGACACAAGTCATATCCTAAGAGCTTAACTCCAAACCCACATAATCACAAAAACAATTAAGACACACAAGACAATCGAACATTCTCTCCTAACACGAAAGCCCTATGAGGCCAAGCCGCTTCCCAAAAGCTTCAGATATTCAAATCCGGTTAACTCTGATACTAATTTGTAACGCCCTGGAAGAACCTTTCTGATCTCGTTCACTAGGCATTCCCATCATATAATGCATACAAATTAAAAATATAAGTAGTAACAAGAAACAACATTCCTTTCATCTCTTTTCCATTGAACTATTTCCCAAAATTTACAAAGTCATCTCATTACATCCCAGGCAAAACAAAACAGCCCAACAGGAAAGAAACATATACAACAATTAAGTCCAGGAGGACTTCCAAAATATATCTTTTACTGCATTAACACACAAGTCAACATTTAATTACAATCATTATAGCCAAACTCAACAAAACTTCGAAAGACATGTCATCGAACACCAAAAAGGATTCCTTTTTATCAATGTCATCACTTGACGGGTACTTCATCTTCATTTCCTGAAATTGTTAGCTTTGGGTCAGTAGGTGATGAATTTAACAGGTTATATTATCAACTGAAAAACATATGATCATGCCATGCAACATTTAAAATATAGCGATGAAGATGTATATAAGTGTCTATGTATGTGAGTGAAAACATGCAATGCATGAAACTTGCTCAATCTTTCCACATTATCCATGGGTGATAAATATACTATGACAATCCAAGTGAGAGCCGAAAGTCAAAACATACATATATAGATATAATTTTGTATACTGAAAATAATCTCACATTTGTCGACTCCAAAAACGGTGGGGTGATGGGCACCCAAAAACGTTTTTCCCTTTCCACATTTGCCAGCTCCATAAATGGCGGGGACGTAGACACCAAAAACCATGTTTTTCCACATTTGTCGGCTCCAAAAATGGCAGGCTCATGGACACCCAAAAATATTTTCCCACATTCGTCCGGCAATATGCGCAGATAGGGCAATTGAGCACCTTGACTCCCCGCGCAAGTGCCAATTACAATACACAACTCAAACTCAACCCGACTCACTACTCGGACTCATTGACAATTTACCCCTTTACAACCTTTTAACCTTCATTCCATCATAATGTCAAAAGAGAATGAAAAATGCATATGATGCATGAATTTAGAAATCTTTGATTTTCCCTAAGATGATTCCAAATCATAACAATTCAATACTTCTCACATCAATAATGAAGGATACCTCATTAACAATCCTCATCATCATCAAGGTTTATATAGAGGAAGAGCTTCAACTTTTACATTTCACTCTTAAAGTTAAGTAAATACATTCAATTTCATGTTTTTGAAACCAATTGAGCAAAATCCCTCTTAGCTGAACAAGTCTCAAAACTAGGGTTTATGAAAATTTTGAAATTTTCTCTCTAATGTAAAAATTGGAGATCAATTCTCGTCATCAACTACAATAATCTTCAATAATAAACATAATTGCACCCATAACCATAGAATGTTACCCACATTTTTTCCAAATCACTTACAAGCAACACAAATCCATACATACATACATACATACATATGTATATATATATATGCAACATGGATAACTAATGAAATTACCATATAAGACATTCAAATTGAAGATATAGCGAGTTAAAGACACCCCTACCTCGAAATTGGAAGATGGGGTTGTGAATCACACTCGAAACATCGATGATCTAGCGAAGCAATCAGTAGAAATGTTGATCTAGACTTCCTTTCAACTTTTCTTGGATGATTTTGAGGGGATCTTGGGTTGAAGTTAGAGAAATTTAGGGTTTGTGGGCTTGGGTTGAGGGAGAGTAGATATGAAAAAGTGGCGAGAAAATGAGTAAGAATTAACTTTTAAGTCAGCTATCCCCGACATAGCGCTTGAGCGCAACTTCCTTCGCTCAAGCGAATAACACAATTACGAAGGGATAGCTTGAGCAATCATTTCACCGCTCGACCGAAAAATATGAAGTCCCAGAAGTTTTACAGAGCTACAGTAAAAATACTTGGAGCATGCATTCTACGCTGGAGCGGTCCCGCCTACAAAACAACCAACTCCTGGGAGCTAAAGATCTACATGAAAAACCCAAGTGTCACATTACTAAACAAATACATGGAATGGAATTAAACAAAAGCAAAGCCTCCATCTTCATTATAAAGAGAAAAGTACTCTATTCAACTCCTTTTCAGCTTTCCTCTTTTTATTATTGTTATTATTGTAATTATTTTTATGACACAACTCCAACCAATCCATCCTATCATTCAATACACAGTCTTATGAATAAACTCTTAATATACGCAATCACAAACAAAACATACGTATCAATTGAGTTTGATTTTGTGTCCCATTCTCTCTTATCAAATTGAAGAACGAAAAAAAAATAATAATCATCAAGTTGAATCAATCCTATTATAATCCAATGATGTTGTCGATTAAGTTCGACTATTTTGTGTCTCCTCCTCAATTAAGTGAAAGACAAGAATGAAAAAAAAAAATAAAAAAATGAAGGGAGAATCAAGAAGTTGAATCAATAATGCAACCAAATACTGATTCAATATGCTTAGGGTTTTTTTCAATTTTCATTATTTTTCCCTTAAAAATATCCCAAAAAATTCAATTAAAAAAAGTTCTAAAAGGCCGGTTCCACATGACCCATGAAAGCAGGTATGCTGCCGTAACTATCATAATTTTCCATGCTCCTTCCAATTAAACTCTGGCTAAAATGTAAGGTGGAAAGGGGGTTGTACAAATCCTACTATATGTTCACCAGGTACACATCATCAACACCTCTTATCCTTTGGAAGCATGAAATTAAAAAGTTTGTGTTCTTAAACTGAGGGCTAAGGTCTAAAGACTATGTGAAGACAAACATGATGAATTCTGTGAAGTATGGTTCCATTCCATGGCAAGAAACAAGCCACAACCACAGGTTGGGCTACCCACCAAGTTAAGATGATCATTTGACCCAAATATTGATCAAAGATAAAATTTACATTATGTCATTTCATTGTTTCCCTGTTCAATTAGGAGATTCTATCTGCTACTATCAAACCATTGATATATCCTATAGTATTGGGAATCTGTTGGGCTAAAAAATTACCAAAAGTTCCTCATTTCGTATATATTGATTGGTTGATAAATCTCCAAAATGAGATGAAAGATATATAACCCTACTCATGCCACTTGCACAAAAGGAATGTTTGCTATCCCAACAGATTAAAATTGTAAATTATATTCCTGTGTTCCCTTCATGCAAAATGTACTAGTTGAATTGCATCATGTATAGAATGAATTTCAAAGTGACACCAATAATGCATCAAAGATATACATCCACATAAATTACTGATATTGCAAATGCATGTCTCTTGCTACTTACAGAAAGAGAGGGAAAAAAAAAATGAGAGCTAACATGGAAAAGATACCAGCAACGAACTTCATAATGAAGATGCTGACAATACTAGTCAGGGGGCCAACCGATCAATTTTCCATAATCTTTTTCCATCAACCACTTCAGGAGTATATCGTATCCTGTCAAAGGATAAAATTGCACATTACAATTGACATCAACTATCGTGTGAAGAAACAAAAGTTATTTGAGGTCCTTCCCCATGCGTAAATTCCGTTCAATATGAAACTCATCTTGTAATTATTGGATAGCATATTTGTATCTCGGAAAACATCTACACTTTTCATGTATGACAAAGAAGCAAAAATAATAAATACTTGGAAATTTTCCAAAGAATCTGTTTGGTTGGGTTTTCACAATTTGTTTTTTGAAATTTTTTCAAAAACTAGTTAGGTAATAAAAAATGAAAAGATAGAAAACACTCATTTATTTTCATATGGTTCTCTTTTTTGGAGTGAAAATAAAATTTGAAAATTCAAAAATATCTTTTTTTGGTATTTGTTTTTGTCAAACTAGTTTCAAAGAGTAAATTACACTTCGCACCCCTGCATTTTACACCAAATCTCACTTTGGTTCCTACGCATGAAATTATAACAGTCAACCCCCTGTACTTTTGGTCAAGTGTCGATATTCCCCTTCTGTTATTCCATTGTTTAAGTCTTTAACAGAATCCCGTCATGTCGCAAGCATATGACTATGAAATGAGGGCAAAGGAAGAAAATCACCCCCATTTCTTGCCTATACACATTTCGTCCCAAAATTTACATCAAATTATAACTATATTTAGCTAAAACAAAATGCAGATTGTGAATGGTTAAGGAGATGAACTAGGGTTTTGTAGAAACTAATATCATGAAGCTCTGTTTTCCACAGTAACACTCCATCTCTTCCTCTTTCTTTCTCTGCTGCAATTGTTATTTTAAAAACCCTATTTTCTTGCATCTTCATCCTATTTTTAGCATATGAACATATATATTGTATTATATAACTCTCACATGCTTATCATGTGAGACAAAGTGTGTATTGGTGGAAAATGGTGATGGTTTTCCTCTCTTGCCTTCATTACGTAGTCACGTGTTTATTACGTAGTCACGTGTTTGTTACATGACTGGATTTTGTTAAAGAATTGAACAATAGAGTAACAAAAGGACATTGACACTTGACCAAAAGAGCAGGGGGTTGACTGTCACAATTTTGTGTACAAGCCAAAGTGGGATTTGGTGCAAAATACAGGAGTGCAAAGTAAAGTGTAATTTACTCAATTTTTAATTTTTCAAAAAACTAGTTCCGAAAACTCAATCAAACAATAAATTTGGAAAATAAATGAGAATTAAATTGAGTAATTTAATCAGCAAAGTTATTTTTATTAGACTCAATTGAGTTGATTTTAAAAAAAAAAAAAAAAAAAAAAAAAAAAAAACCTTTCCCATGTTCTAAACAATAATATCTGTCCACCTTTAGAATTTGAGTAACTTACATGTAGATCTTAATAAGTAGACTTATTATCTAATAGGTCCTATGATAATTAATGGTCTTTTTCTTTTTTTTTCTTTTTTTGATAAGTATAATTAATAGCGTTTTTCATCAAACGCTACTAAAAAACGTCACTAATTGTTCATTTTAGTGACAATTTGAAAATTTTATCATAAAAAATGTCACTAATCATAAGTTTCAATAATAATTTTAAAAAAAAAATCGTCACAAAAAAAGTCGCTAATTTTTAACTTTCAACGACAGTTTGAAAATTTGATCACAGAAAAACATCACTAATTGTAAGTTTTGGCAACAATTTATAAAAACCGTGACAAAAAAAATCATTAATTGTCAATTTTTAGTGACATACAAAAAATTATTTTTAACAACGATTTTACTAGAACCTATTGGTAGTTTACCCTTAGAATTTTGAATTCAATGTTTCTTCCTAAATATTCTCAGAGACCAAACAAAGAATCTCCTCAAGATTCTTCTAAAGTTTCCGAACTTCTTCAAATCTTTTTTGACACTGCTTCCTATAGGTTTTCCATTAACTTTCTCAATTAATACCATCTCCTGTATTTTTCTCAATCACACCAAGGGGTGTTTCATATTAGTGTCTTAATTTTGTTTCCCAAACTGGATCCATCAAAAAAGTTCAAGGATCAAACATGATATTATACAAGTCAGTAACACCAAATTTCAAACTGGATCCTTCTTATGCCCAATAGATCAACCATACCAAATTTTCTCAAGAGGGCTGGGATAAAAGTTACCTATCGTGCAGGCGTGATTGTTGTCCTTGCCAAAATTCAAAAATCTCCGGTTTAAGCCTGTATCCTCCCCATTGCTTGGGTTTGGGAATTGGACTTCTACAGATCAAAGAATATATTATTAGAATTTTTTGCATGGAGCTAGGAGTCTTAGTTCAGAATGAAAAAGAAAATTTAGTAGGCTTCAACTTCATAGAGGATAACAATGCAGAAATGACCCATTCTGTGATATGCAATCAAATAGTGGGATATAATATGTCTGCACATGCACACAAACAAATACATAGGTGCCATTGCTTGATGGACAGCATGCCTGTACCATTCCATTCTTCCTAGGCACCCACATTCAAGGATACAGGATAAGGTAGTGACCTTCAGTGTGTGTGTTTGTGTGCATGTACATATATATACAGAGAGAAGGAGAAGAAGAATGACAGTGTATAAATAAAGCAGACAAAGGTTGCAACTGTGAAGGGAACCCCTCATTCAAAGAAAATCTTTTTGTTCAGTTGGTAATGTAGAAACTGGACCATGGAAAAGTCTAAATAAAAAATGCATGGACACAAATCAGACATACATATACCCACACAGAAAGATATATATAATAAATATTTCTCTCATATGATAATCATGGAACCTAGACTTAGGATAAAAACTAACATGTTTAGCAGAATGTTAGCACGCAAATATTTATCAAAGTAGCTTCACAAGACACCCAAAAATTACACATTTGAATTTTATTTTTATTTTTATTTTATTTTTTTTAAGATGTAAAAAATTACACATTTGATAACTGACCCGTCAGAGAATTTTGCCTCTAAGTCATTGTATTCTTGGCAGAGACTATGCCGTCCAGGAATTACAGTGCTCTGGAGAGAAGAATAAATAGGTTTAGCGGTTTATGAAGATATACCTGGAATGGAAGAAGGGGCGTAAAAGAAACCTGCTTGCTAACTATTGCTCCAATTTGACTTCCTCGAAGATGGCTGTGGAAGTACTGCTCAGATTCCTCATCAGACACTTTCTCCACAAATCCTTCCACTCTTGCCTAGAAATCACATTATCATTTAATTTGGTCTTCAAAGTTGATTTTAAGAGGTATGGCGTAGGCCTCATTTGGGAACATATTTTTTAAAAAACTTTTTGGCTTTTTGGCTAAAATATGATGTAAAAAAAAAAAAAAAAAAACAAGTATGTTTGGGATGACTTTTTAGTTTTTAATGAAAAGATGTGCAAAAAAAAGTAGAGAGAAAATAGAATCTTTGACTTTTAAATACAGGTTATTGGCATTTTGATTTTTTTAGTGACTTTATAACTTTTAGGCTAAAAAGTGATGTTGCCAAACGAGGCCTATGTATTCTTATCATCATAACTATTATCACTATAAACAAAAAAACATTTGATAATTGAAGAGATATGAATTATTAGGTTAATAAACTTTTTCCTGAAAACCAATGATTTTCACAGTTTAGTGCAATGTTCATACGCATCCATGGTATTATGGGCAGCAAAATTAATGGTATTATGGCAATTCAACACAATATGCCCTCCTCAACCATAATTTCCCCTTTCCTTTTTGGAGGTCTAACCCTAAGTGTAAAGTTCCATTTTTCTTGTTGAAGTAAGTAGCTATGTTAAATGCCCTAGCTAGGGCAGCATCTCAATATTATTCAGCCAAAAGCCATTGCCAGCTTCCTGTTTATACTAACTAAAAAATTAAATAGATAGACAAGCAAAGCGACATTTTTCTTTTCCCAGATGAGAACCTATATTTCGA